TAAGCTAGGACCGAGAATAAATTATGATTTTTTTATGACCTCTGAGAATGCTCAGGGTGGGGAACAGAGGTGGGGAAGAAGATGGAGGGAAACAACCATGGTTCATTTTATAGCAAATGTTTATTTTTCAGAAAGCTCTGTTTAGGTGTGAAAACAGAACTCATACCTGTTTGTTTAATGACAGAATCAAGACTTAACTGTATGCTTTTTGCATTTCAAAATTTTGTGGCTAATAAGTGTTTTCCAGGTCTAAATATGTACAGATTCAGAGGCACTACAGTCCCCACTGCTCTCTGGAATGAGGTCTCCAAAATGGGAGCCAAAATTGGGTGTGTCATCAGCCAATCCGAGACTGAGAAGATAAATGGGTTGCATTCCACTGTCCCTGTAATGGCCAATCATGAGCATTGGCTCTAACACAACCATATCTACCCTTATCCATCAGTACATGAGAATATACCCCTCTGCCTAGAATACACTCCATCTTTACCTCAGCCTCTTATAATACCAGCTTCCTTCAGAGGTCACCCCAAGGTCTCCCTTATCCCCTCAGACACTAGCACCTTCCCCACAGCAAAAAAAAAAAAAAAAAAATTATACTGATTTTGCATGCATTTTGTATTTACTTTTATGTATGCATATAGTTTTCCTAGACAGAAATGAAGTTCCTAAGAGGCAAGTACTTTTTTTTTTAAATCATCATAGCCCCTATCAGAGCCCAGCATGGGGCCTGGAACATAGAAGGTACATGATAAAGCTTGTTCATTGAGTTGATTTGATTTGCTTACTATAAGCAAGGTATTCTACTAGGGCCGATGATAAAAGAATATTGACATTACTAGCTTGTTGATTCATTTACTAGCTGTGTGACCCTGGACAAGTCACTTAACCCTGTTGGCCTCAGTTTCCTCATCTGTAAAATGAGCTGGAGAAGGAAATGGCAAACCATTCCAGTATCTCTGCCAAGGAAACCCCAAATGGGATCACAAACAGCTGGACATGACTGAATAACAACAAATAATAGTAGTACAGCTTTTACTCGTGGCCTGATATTCTTTGCTTTGCACCCTACTACTGCCAATATTTGCCAATATTTGTTCAAATCTGCTCCCATTTACACTGTATATAACTTTTCTGTACATAGTTATTTTTATATTGTCTCCTCTGTTAAGACTGTAAGCTTCTTGAGGTCAAGGACTCTTTTTTTTTTAATCATTATATTTCCTGCCCACCCAGAGCTCAGCACTGTGCCTGGAACATAGAAGGTGTATAATAAATGCTTGTCCATTGAGTTAATTTGATTTGCCTGCTATGAGCAAAGTATTCTTCTAGGGCTAAGGATAAAAGAATGTTGACATTACCTCCCATCTGCACTGTATATAACTTTTTTGTAAATAGTTATTTTTATATCGTCTCCTCTATTAGACTGTAAGCTCCTTGAGGGCAAGGACTCATTTTTTCCTTTCTTTGTATTCCCAAGGGCCCACCTCAGTAAATAGGACATAGTAGATGCTTAATAAATGGTTGATAATGGTGATATTGTTCCTGCCCTTAAGGAACTTACATTCTACTTAAAGGAGGGGGGAGGGAGACATGTACACAGACAGCATAATATGAAGAAGAATGTTATCGTGGTAAAGGACAGGCAAAGATGCTCTCAGAAATTTGAGGAAAGAGAGAGGGTAGAGAGAGAGAATCAGAGGAGACTCCATGAAGGAAGATGCATCCAAGCTGGGTCTTAGACAGAGGCAGGGATTTCAATATTGGGAATTGAATGGGGAAGGGGAGGCATGGAAGAGAAATGAAATATTGAGGAAATACTGAAATTCTGGAGAACAATAATGAACATTTCAAGAACATTGTGAGTCACTGTTCACATGCTGTTCCAGGATGACTAGCAGTTTCAATTTCCACCAGGTTAAAGGACAATGAGCAATTTTTCAGACTTACAAAAGTTTTAGAGCTAGAAAAAAATCTCAGAGATGATTTAGGCCGGACAGTCAGGCAACAAACATCTATTAAGCACTTACTACGTCCAGACTCTAAGCTAAGTGTTATGGTTACAAATACAAGCAAAAATGAAGACAACCCCTGCCCTCAAGGAGCTTACATTCTTTTTTTTTTTTTGGCGGGGGGGGAGCTAGGCAATGGGGTTAAGTGACTTGCCCAGGGTCACACAGCTAGTGTTATGTGTCTGAGGCCAGATTTGATCTTGGGTCCTCCTGAATCCAGGGCCTGTTCTCTATCTACTGTGCCATCTAGCTGCCTCCAAGGGGCTTACATTCTAATGGGGTGGGGGGAATTCAACATGTAAAGGAACCAAATCCTATTACTTTACAAATGAGGATACAAGAACAAAAAAAAAAAAAGCGGACTAGAATCCAGCTTCTCCTAATCTCCTGAGAGGTAGAGTGATATACTGGGTACTGAGCTTGTTGTCAGGAAATACCCAGGTTCAAATCCAACCTCTGAATTGTACTGGCTTTTTGACCCTGGGAAAGTCACCTAACCTCTTAATTCTCCAGACCACTCATTAAGATGCTAAGTTTCAGAGAAAATATTGATCTGCCTTGGTAGAAAGACTGTCCTCACCAGGAGTTTCCTATAGCCAAAAAAGTCACGAGTACAGTTTAAAAACAACAGCAACAACGAAGTCTGGATAACAAAACCTGTAGCACCTATCAGAGGTCTTTTGGTAAAGAGCAAATGAGATCCAAGCACCTTACAAAACTTAATGCTTTGGGAACGTCATTATGAATACTGGGCAGTCAGGTGGCACAGTGGATAGAGCACTGGGCTTGCAGTCAGGAAGACTCATCTTCCTGAGTTCAAATCCAATCTCAGACACTTAATAGCTGTGTGACCCTGACCAAGTCACTTCACCGTGTTTGCCCCAGTAAAATGAACTGGAGAAAGAAATGGCAAACCACTCTAGTATCTTTGCCAAGAAAACACCAAGTGGGGTCATGAACAGTTGTGAAAACAACTGAACAGTGGTATAGTAGATTGCTGGAGTGGGGGGAGGCAATAGGGGTTTAAGTGACTTGCCCAGGGTCACACAGCTAGTAAGTGTCAAGTGTCTGAGGCTGGATTTGAACTCAGGTCCTCCTGACTCCACAGCCAGTGCTCTATCCACTGTGCAGCTTAGCTGCCCCATTTTATTTTTTTACTGGTTAAGTCTCTTTATTTTTATGGAGGTAATTCTTCATTATCTCACTATGCTCCAACACTCCCAATAATTATATTCAAACAAATGCCTATGTAACAATACAAAACCCCAGAAAGTACCAATATAGCCATTGGATAGCACCTTGATGGGAACTGCTCTGTGTTTATAGAGTTACCCCTGGATGTCATTTGGGACTGATTCTAGAAGCCACAGTATTCCAGTTAGAATTCATTAGGGAGTCACAGGGCTCTTCACTTCCCGCCATAAACTCCTTGTCCAGGTTCTCAATATCCGAGGGAATCTGCGGATCATCACTATTCGTAATCCAAACATCTGACAACAGCTGGAATTTCAGCTAGATCTTTAGTGTTCTCCTTTGCAGAGGAGACATTCTGAACATTCTCATAAAATATAAAGTTATCGTTATATTCAAAATATGGCTCAAAAGCTGACTGCAAATAACAGGTTTGGTGCTATTGGTAATAGGTACCACAGTGGTGAAGTTGTAACTCAGCCTTCATCTGTTGCCAGTACCAGAAATAATTGCTTTGTTGGGTTAAATCAAAATCTAGAGATTTTGACTATAACAGTAAGAATAGTAGTATGGGTATTATTCCTGGCCTACTATTGCCAATATCTGCCAAGTTTTGTAGTCCATGTGAGGAAGTTAACAATAGTCCTTGGAGTCAGGAAGTCCTTATATCCCTTCTCTAATACTAAGTGGCTGTGTGACCCTGAGCAAGTCAATTCAGTTCAATTCAATAAATATTTATGAAACACCTTCTATGTGTCACGAAGTGTGCCAAGCACTGAGGATACAAAAAGAGGCAAAAGACAGTCCCTGCCCTCAAGGAGCTTACAATCTAATGGGGGAAACAAATGCAAACAAATATATACAAAGTCAGCTATACAGAAGATAAATCAGAAATATTCAAAAGAAGGAAGGTATTGGAATTAAGCGGGGTTGAGGGAGGTTTCCTGTAGAAGTGGATTTCAGTTGGGACTTAAAGGAAGCCAGGGAAGTCAATAGTCAGAGCAGAGGAAGGAGAGCTGTCCAGGCATGGGGGTCACTTAACCCATCTGTGCCTTGGGCAACTCCCTGGGACTTGCCTCTTAAGTCGAAGATAGGCTGTGTGATCTGTGGACAGAGTTCCCAGACAGGGAGAACCCCATGAATATTTGTAAGTATAATCTAAGTGAGGCTCTTCTCCTCACCAAGTCTTTCCTTCCTTTGAACTCTCATAGATGGCCCTTTGTTCAACTCCTGCTGGTGGATTTATTTTGCATAAAAGTAATTTCTTGCCTCTCCAAATATTGTGAGTTCTATGAAGGCCATAGAACCAGTGGGTTCTAAGAAGGTTCTGTGGGGCAGCTAAGTGGCACAGTGGACAAAGTGTTAGGTCTGGAGTCAGGAAGACTCATCTTTCTGAGTACAAATCCAGCATCAGACACTTACTAGCTATGTGGCCCTGGGCAAGTCACTTAATCCTGGTTGCCTCAGTTTCCTCACCTGTAAAATGGGCTGTAGAAGGAAATGGCAAACCACTCCAGTGTCTTTTCCAGGCAAACCTCAAATGGGGTCACAAAGAAGAGCTGGACACGGCCGAAATGATGGAACAACAACAACACGATGCCATGATCCTATAATACCCACCCCACTAAAGACCTTGACAAACACAACTCACCCACTTTCCTTTCCTTTATCTTTCCAACTTTTTCTTCCTCCTCCTCTTCCAATTCTTCTCCTCTTTAAGCTTGAGTCATGGGAAGTATTATCATCATTATGGGGAGCAATCAATCTTTATTAAGCACCTATTGTGTGCCAAGCACTGTGCTTAACATGAGGATGCAAAGAGGCAAAAGACAATCCCTGCTCTCAAGAAGCAATGAAGCCATGAGTCAGATCAGAAATATACCAGCTTCCAGGTCCCATCCCTGGAGCAAGATGCCAGCAGCACTGGACATTCATAATCCAAGCTACAAATGGACAGGGGAGAAGCATTGCTGTCTCCGGACTTCTGTTTCTTCATCTGTAAAATGAGGCAATGGGACTAGTTAGTCTCTAACACCTCCCCTAGCACTAATATTCTATGTGTTATGTTTAAAGATCTTTCCAGCTGCGGTATTCTGCATCTCAAGGTCCCTTCCAGCTACAACCTTCCACACTCATGTTCTCAGTTTCTTTTTAACTTAACGTCCTCTTGTTCTAGGATCCTATATCCAATGTCTTGGCAGAACCAATGGTAGAACCCAATACAGAATCAGGAGACTCAGATGATCAAGAAGTGATGGAATCAATACCAATTAATAATAACAGCTCACATTATTATGTCTCTTTAAGGTTTGCAAATCACTTTACATGCATCATCTCATTTGATCCTCACAACCCTGTGAGGAAAGTGTTTTGATTATTCTCATTTTACAGATGAGAAAACTGGGACTGAGAAGTGACTCTCGCAGGGTCTAAGTGTCTAAGGCAGGATTTGAACTCAGGTCTTCCTGACTCCACGTCTGGCAGTCTATGGATTGTGCCACCTAGCTTGTTAGGATGATGATGACGTCATCAAGGAATTCTACTGTGTGGTTGCAGTGTGTGTGAGAGTGACTGAATGTGTGTGTGTGTGTGTGTGATACTCTGCCTCATACTGTGAGACCCTGGAGCATTTGTCCTCTAGTTGGTACCTAAGCAAATCTAATTAACTCAATGTTCCTCTGGATGAATCCCAATCTAATCTTTCAGGATTCACTCCTCTTCACACTCAACAGTCACTGACTCTTCACACACACCTGCCTTCTCTCCTTCTCAGGTAGCTGGGGTGCTGCTTATCAATAGTCACACAGAAGTATTGCTCATTAAACATAGACAACCTTGGGTGATGTGGAAAAGAACAGCCTGGAGGACTCTGGTTGTGTCCAGGTAGGAAGCACAACTGATGGAGAACCATTTGCTCGGGGATTTTTGTTTGTCTTAATCCCATTTGACCAATCGACCAATCCCTGATGCTTGTACAGTGATCCATTCATTAAGATATCCTTCAAAATGATCAGACTGAAAGAGAGTTGATTGAACAGTTGTGTCCAAAGTGAATCTACGTAGTATGGTGATGTGGTTCAGGGGACTTGATTTCTAGTCCTAGTTTAATGATTGAGGGAACTGGGGGATTTGGGGGCAAATTAATTTGTCTTTCTGGTTTTTTCCCTCATGATATCAGGCCTATGGCATTATCCTAAATCAAAGGGAAAAGACCTTTTTCCCAATTACAATGATGTAGTGAGAAAAGCAGTGGACCTGGAGTTAGAAGATCTGGGTTCAAATTCATGCTGTGTCATCTATTATGCAGATGATCATGGACAAGCATCTAACCTCTCTGAGCTTCAGTTTCCTTATCTATAAAATGAGGATTGTGTTTGTACTATCTACTTCAAATGGCTGCTTACTGGAAAAGGGCTTTGTAATCCGTAAAGCCCAAAGCAAATGGGAATTGTTATTACTGGTGCTCATAATAACAAACAAACATTTGTTGAATATCTGCTATTTATTTAGCACCATGGAGGTCACAGGAAGTATAAGCCTTAGACTTTACTCTCAAGAAATTTGTGATCTGACTAAGGATGCTAGCTAACTGACTGCTAGATAGATAGATAGATAGATAGATAGATAGATAGATAGATAGATAG